GCCTAGAAATGAGACTTGTGAATGAGAATTTCTTGGTTGGTGTGTGTGTGCCTCTCATGTGAGTGACAAATTATGCAATTTGTTAGATGATGGGGTAGTTAAAATAATAATAATAATAATAATAATAATTAACGAGTAGTCGATGGATTGTAATGGTAATTGGGAGGGAAGTGATTTCCCAAGTTTATAAGTAAAGCTTATTCGTTGTTTTATTTAACCTTATCATTATTGTTTGGAATGGTTGTTGCTTATATTATTGTGATTGGGTTGTGGCATCACCGTCATGGTGATGAGATTGTTGGTTGAGCAACGGTTAGGGGTTTCACTAGTTGAAGTGCTTTGAGAAAAGAGTGAAGAATGAAATTTCTTATTGATTATGATTTGGTTTTGTCAGAACTAAAATTTATTGTTGGTGTTAGTCATAGAATGAATAACATGATTTTGATAATTTTGTTGTGATTATGTTTTGATTTATTTTGAGGAATTGATTATAATTGAAAACCGTAATGTTTGATTAAATCTTTATAATCTACATTCTTTCTATGTTAACAATGTTTTTCGAGGTCAAAATGAGCTTAAACATGTCAAAGGGTCGACACCAAGACAGCAAGGGTCAACACCAGATTTCATTATACAATTCTTAAGTGTTGCAGCAACCAAGGGTGGACACCAAAGCCTTACAAGGGTCGACACCAAATTTCAAAATGCTGAGGATTGACACCAAGAACACCAGGAAGTCAAAGGAAAGAAGAAAAGAGAGCAAAGGGTCAACACCCAATCTACAGGAGTCGACACCCTTATGTCTGGGTTGTAAAAACCCTAGCTACCATTCTAGATCTATAAGTGGGATTTTGTTAAATCATCGAGGGACAAATCTTATTCAAATCAAAAGGGATTTTGGGGTAGCAACTTTTGACTTAGTGGAGGAAGAATTTTCCACCCACACCGTTCCCAAAACATGGGGAAGCAAAAAGTATGGAGACAACATTATCTCCACCCACCAAGATTTGAATCTTAAGCATGGGCATCACATCCTTTAAGGAGGCACCACCTCCAACAGCTAGATGATAGCCTGTATAGACCCATGCTCTGCTCCAACAACTAAAAGTCTTCTCCTATGCCCAGCTCCAATGGCTAGAAGACCCACTTGTGTTTCCTCTCTAACGGATAGAACATTGAAGGCTATAAAGGGAGAACTTCTCCAGATTTAAAGATTTAGATAACACCACTGCAATATTTTGAGCATTCAAGTATCATTCTCAATTCTGATATTCTATTGTACCTTCACTTTCATATCTGAGTGTATCTCAAAACCCTTTCTACTCTTACACTCTCATATCTATCTTTTGAGAAAGAAACCTTGTAAAAGAGGATAGTTGTACCTCTTATTCTTATTCAACTTTTTCTGAGTGAAAAACCTTGTAAAATGAGGCATTTAGCTAAGAGGTCCTCAACGAATAAAGTAAGTCCTCTAGCCATTTACTTGAGAGGCACTCAATGGATAAAGTAAGTCCTATGTAAAAATCTACAAGCTAGGTGAAGCTTGGTAGTGTATTGATTTGGTTCATAGTGAAGGAATTCTCGAGGTACCTTGAGGAGTGAACGTAAGCCGATGAGCCGAACCACTATAAATCTTTGTGTTTGAGCTTTTCTTTCCTTCTCATTTATTTTCAGTATTATTCATTACTTGCTGAATTTATTGCAATCAATTTTCTGCTCATTATTTTTATTACTCAATTCACCCCCTCTTGGGTTGCCTACCTGGGGTAACAACTGTGAAAAACAAATACCCACTACCTATAATAGATGATTTGTTTGATCAACTCTAGGGAGCTCAAGTATTCTCTAAAATTGACCTTAGGTCTAGGTATCACCAATTAAAAGTTAAAGTAGAAGACATAGAGAAAACTGCATTCCGAACTAAATATAGACATTATGAATTTTTAGTAATGCCGTTTGGGATAACTAATGCACCTGCTGCCTTCATGGACCTCATGAATAGGGTTTTCAAATCATATTTGGATGAATTTGTTGTTGTGTTTATTGATGATATTCTAATTTAGTCCAAAAGTAGGGAAAATCATGAAAACCATTTAAGAACTGTGTTACAAATTCTGAGAGAAAAGAAATTGTATGCAAAACTTTCCAAATGTGAGTTCTGGCTTGATAATGTGACTTTTCTGGGACATGTAATCAACAAGGATGGCATATCGGTTGACCCGCAGAAAATTGAAGCTATTGTAAATTGGCCAAGACCAACAAATGTGTCAGAAGTTAAAAGTTTTCTGGGACTTGCTGACTATTAAAAAAGATTTGTGAAAGACTTCTCCAAACTTGCCATGCCATTGACACAATTAACGCAAAAAAAATGTACCGTTTGATTGGAATGATCAAAAAGAGTCTTCTTTTCAAGAATTGAAAACTAGACTAATGATTGCACCAATTCTGACTATACCTAATAATATAGATGGGTTTCAGATTTACATTGACGTTTCATACAAAGGCCTGGGGTGTGTGATAATGCAAAATGGAAAGGTAATTGCGTATGCTTCTCGGCAACTCCACCTACACGAAAAGAACTATCCGACTCATGACCTTGAACTTGCAGCTGTGGTTTTTGCTTTGAAAATCTGGCACTATTATTTGTATGGAGTGACTTGTGAAGTGTATACCAACTATAAAAGTCTGAAATATTTCTTTACTCAGAAATAACTAAACATGAGACAAAGAAGATGGCTCGAGTTAATTAAAGATTATGACTTGCAAATTTTTACCACCTGAGAAAGGCAAATACAGTTGCAAATGCTCTGAGCCAAAAATCCATTGGAAAATTGTCATATTTGCTCACTGGCCAGAAAGAGTTATTGTGTGACTTAGAAAAAAATGAAATTAAAATTAGGTTACGTGAACAAAGTGGAGTCCTAGCTGCCATTTCTGCGCAACCAGCTATCATTGAGGAAGTTAAAGAAAAGCAACTACAAGATGAATTTCTGAAGAAGACTGCTGAAGAAAATAATTCAAAACCAAGGCTGGGATTTATGTATAAACATATGTGTTGAAATTTTAGGGTAGACTCTGTGTACCGGATTATTCAGAATTGAAGAAACACATTATGACCGAAGCTCACAATTCTAAATTTGCTATGCATCTGAGGAATACAAAAATGTACAAAGATTTGAAACAGAAATTCTGGTGGCTTGGATTGAAGAAAAGTATTGCTGACTCTGTAGCCAAATGTTTGCATTGCCAACCAGTGAAAGCCGAACATCAACACCCGCTGGATTACTTTAGCCGCTTCCAATACTAGAATGGAAAGGAGAGCATATTACGATGGACTTCATTGTCGGCCTACCTCGTTCTAGAGGTATGGATTCTATCTGGGTAATTGTTGATCATTTAACTAAGTCTACTCACTTTTTGCCTGTGAAAACTTTCTATAATACGGATAAATTGGCTAATATTTATATTTATGAGATTGTGAGATTACACGGTGTGCTAGCATCTATTGTATCTGATAGAGATCCAAAGTTTACTTCAAGATTTTGGCAGAGTTTGCAACAGGCTTTGGGAACTGAACTAAGACTTAGCAATGCTTATCATCCACAAACAGATAGCCAATCAGAACGAACCATTCAAACCTTGGAAGATATGATCAAAATGTGTGTGTTAGATTTCCAAGGAAATTGGGATACCTATCTGCCACTAGCCGAATTTGTGTACAACAACAGCTATCATTCAAGCATTAGGATAGCTCCTTATGAGCTTTGTACGGAAGAAAATTTGTTGGGCTGAAGTAGGCGATAAACCGTTATTGGGATCGAAACTCGTGCAGGAAACAACCAAGAAAGTGAAATTGATTCAACAACATTTGAAAACCTCCCAAAGTTGCCAAAAGAGTTATGTAGATGTTTGGAAGAGAGACAGAGAATATGAAGTTGGTGATTATGTGTTTATCAAAGTGACTCTTATGAAAGGACAGACACAATTTAGGGTTAAAGGTAAGTTGGCGTCAATGTACGTTGGCCCGTATGAGATTATTGATAAAATCAATCTAGTAACATATCAGGTAACTTTACCTCCAGTCATGGAGCAAGTGCACAATGTATTCCACATTTCTATGCTTCGAGACTATTTACGAGACCCGCATCATATTATTGAGCCAACACATGTGCTTCTAGAGGATGATTACATGTATGAAGAATGGCCAATCCAAATTGTGAACCGCCGGATCAAAAGACTGAGGAGTAAAAAAATTCCGTTAGTGAAAGTAGATTGGCAAAATTATGGAGGGACGTATGCAGCTTGGGAGACCGAAGAAGATATGATGAAGAGATACCCTGATTTGTTCCCTCTGGATCCGATATTCTTTCAAAATGAAGGTAATTCGAGTTTGGAGGACCAAACTCTTTAAGGGGGAAAATTTGTAACAACCCCGACCTGTGATTAGCTAATAAACCATGATTAAACTGTAACAATCCCGACATGTGATTAGCTAATAAACCATGATTAAGAATGCCTAATAAGTAATTAAGAGGAAATCCTAACTTAATTGCATGTGTATTGTGTTATTTGTGTTTATATTTGTTTGACGTAGAAATATCTATCTGACTTCTTGATTCAATATACGAAATGAAGGCCTTATTGGCATCCGATCACAAATTTGACTAGGTTAATGTGTTGTTTGTATTTTTTAGAATTTTATGGTAAGTTTAATTGAATTCTGATTCAGATTCAATAATTAGAATAAAACAATGACAATTGATTAGTTGTAAGTCTAGTTTAATTAAGCCCACTAATAAAGCCTATAAGGCTTATACACACATTAGAACTCTCTTTATTCATCATTTTCTTGAGGAGAAAAACATGAGAGAGGAAGAGCTAAAGTGAGAAGAGTGAAATCAAGAAGGAAATGAGGAATTACTATAGAATTAAGGGAAAATTGGAGAAATTGAGTAAGAACTCACTAGAATTTAAGGAATTGAGAACCTTAGGTAAGAAATTTAATCTCTAAGCCTTGTGTTTGACTCATTCAATGTATGATTTCAAAATAATTAAGTAGATTAACATGAGAACTAAGCTAAGATTGGGGAATTATAATTCAAATCCTACATGCATGCACATTTCATAGCATTTTGGAGTGGTTTCAAAAGAATTCTCACATGCATGTTCTTATCTTGGTTTTGTTATAAGAATTCAACATGTGTTTGAGCTAAATATCTCATTTGATCACATTTTGGAAGGATAGAATTTGTATCAACTCTTGCATGTATTATACATTGAGCTTTAAGTTTGGTTTCAAGCAATTGACTTGCTTTGGGGCCTTGATTTTGCGAAATAACATTCAATTCATGATGTTATTCAAGTTTAGACATGTTTTCTCAAGTTATGGGCCCAAAGGATGTGTTTTGAAGCTTTGAATTCAAGTTTGGAGCTGGAATTGCAATCTGGAAATTCCAGAATTTGCACTCTTCGCTCGAGCGTAAAAAATTGAGCTCGAAAGAAGAATTCGAGCTCCCAGTACTTTTGCAAAATTTGGGGGTTGGCTCAAGTGGCAGAACCTACACTCGAGTGACCACCCTTATGTTTGATCCTCCGTTCGGGCGCAGGAAGCTGGGCTCGAGCGTAAAATGAGAGCTCCCAGAAGTTTTACAGAATTTTGCAGATCGCTCCAGCGACCAAAGTTGCGCTCGACCGAAGACCCTATTTTCAACAAATTTGACTATCAACTTACATTTTGGCATCCTCATTGCATATTAGGCATTCCTAAACCCTAATTAAAACATAATAATGAGAATAAAGATTAGAAACACACCAAGATAGAAAAGAAATAAGTTATGTGTTTCCCGAGTATGTGTTTCAATGTATATCCGCTATGTGTTGGTGTGGGTCACGCACCATAGGCTGTCTAATCTGACTATTCTAACTATTCTGTTGTCGAAGCTATCTGTGAGTAACAATTCTGTAAAGCTATGTTTGATTATAAGTATTTTCTTACTGAAATAATATGATTTGTTTTATGAAATGCTATTTTGTGAATTATGAATGAATGTCCAATCTTCTGAAATGTATTTGTGGTATCCTTAGTTCACATGGCCCTCGCCCGGGAGAAACATTATCGTGGCTTATGATCATATGGCCCTCGCCTGGGGGTTACAATACCATGGCTACTTGTGCACAAGATATGAACATTTATGATCGTCGGTACCAACTATGCATGTGGGTCCTAGGACCAATTTGATCTGATAGCTAATTGATGTACCACATATAATTGCTTATGATTTTTGGATAAGTATGTGAATCCGAGTCTGTTTCTGATATGAACTCTGATTTCTGAATTTGTGATGGACATCATTCATAAACCCCTTTTACCTTGTTGCTATTCACTGACCTCTAACTCACTGTATTATTTATGCATGCAGGTGACTAGGCGCATAATCAAGCTCAGAGTTAATTGTCTAAAATTCTGTTCTGTCAGTTAGCCACTATGCCTCCCGAGGAGGTTCCCATTTGAGAAGTGGTCAAGTTTTGTGAGCAATATTTAAGACCTTTGTATTTCTTTTGTTAAGTTTGAACATGTCTTTTGTTTATCTGTATGTACATATATGGTGACGTGTGGATGACATCATAGTTATGTAAATTAAGTTTTAAACTTTTTGTCCTATATATGTCTGCATAGCTCTATGGACATTGTATGTTTGTATTTGCTTCTGCTAGCCCTTTTACTTTTGCTTAATCTGTTCAAAGGCCTTGGATAATCCCAAGATTACTGACCGGTTATGATGCTAAACCTATAAGGGCAAGTTTGGATCGTGACAGCAATAATGTTTTGAGTTTAAAAAATAAGTAAGCTAATTAATAATGAAAAATATTGTAAGTGTGTGTTAATGGTGAAGATGATAAAGAAATACAATATTTATATGTTAAAATCCGAAATCCTATAGGAATGATAGTGTGTGAAGAGTATTTTGTGTTTTTAATATATAAAATTTTTGAATGAATAAAATACAGCTCATGTTGTCCTTAGAGCATCTCTAATGGTTGTTGTTATAATACCATTACTATTGTTATAATTTGGCAATGGTGCTCCATTGGTCACTTTCTATTTTGGCAATTCTCAACCAACTTTCCCTCCAAGTTTGTAGGTGTTGTTTGGATATAGTTTTTTTTGTGATTTTTTTTTTGTTTATTTTTTGTCTTTTATGACCTTTTTTTAACTATTTGTAAAAAAAATTATGTATTTATATTATCCCCTACTAGACAAATATAAAAAATTAGAAAAATTAGAAAAAAAATAAATAAATATAATTCAATTTGAAAAATTAAATAGAAAAATTAAATTTGAAAAATTACTTGGTTTTCTACTGTTTCAATCCTGTTTTTCCAACTGAATTTGGAGCCACAAATATGTTCATATTTGCTGATGTGGCATGTTTGGCAATTGTTATTTTACTTGCCAAATTTGAGAACAGATATGGCATATGCCATCTTTGGCAAATAAAATAGCAAGCCATTCGAGACCCACTTTTTATCACTATTGCTATATTATAGCTTTGGCAAGTATTTTGAAAGCTCCATTGGAGATGCTTAATGGTCATTCCATTGAAAGATATTATTGGAATATATATTTAATCTATTAATGGAGTATACGAGAGTATTAGTGGTGTGTAAATAGAAGCACCCAAAATAAATACATTGACAGAGAGATTAGTGTAATTTCCCAAATGTAAAAGAAAAATTTGTATTAAATTCAAATCTCAAGAGGTGTTAATGTAATTTACCCTAAAATATAAATACAACAATCAAAGTAAAATTCTTTTTAATGGAGGGTCTTAATCGCACCATGTTGGTGTGTATAGAATTATCAAATGTTTTACACTAAATTTAAATTTTCTTAAAAGATATTCAAAATTTTATTCTCGAAATTAATATGTGACTCAGATAATTTTGAGCATAGATTTCCCGCCATAAAAATTGAATCAAAATCGCATATTATTTTTTAAATTAAAATTGTAAACACTCTTTTTCTCATAACCTTGCATATTCATAAGTCCTTTTTTTTTTTTCTTCTTATAATCACATAAGTCCTAATATTTTCAAAAGGTATTTTATGAGATCCTTTTAAATTTATTTTATATCATACCAACACTTTTTTTTCCTTTCTCAAACGTACCACTCTAATGTAACGGATATGATGTAACATTGAGAAAAAAATTCATTAATACATTTTTTTTCAAATGTAACACTCCAATGTAACATTCTAAAAAAATTCATTACTGTAGTTTTTTGAAATGTAACAATGCTCTAATATGATAAGTATGATGTGACATTGGGTACCTCTAGAAGATGTTCTAAAAAAACTTTTTAGTATATTTTTTTCAAATGTAACACTCCAATATAACACTCCAACAAACAAAACAAAAGAAAAAACTCCTTAGTGTATTTTTTTTAAATGGAACACTCAAATGTAACACTCCAAAAAAATTTCTTAATGTACTTTTTTTAAATGTAATACTCCAATGTAATATTACAACAAACAATAACAATTAAAGAGATTATAATAGGGGTGGGCATTGGCCTGCCCAGTCCTATTTTTTTAGAGTTTGGGAATATTGTTTTAGCCTATAGGGTTGGGTTAAGTCGATATTTCAACCTGATTGATTAATGAGTTGGGTTTGGAAATTATACTTTTGGCCTAGCCCAACCCGACTCGCTACATATTTAATTTAATTAAATTATTTATTTATATAATATATTGAAAATATATATAGGAAATTATTCAATATTCTCAGAGTACCACGTGTCTATACTCCCTAACCAATTATCATTCAATATGTCCCCTCATGTTCTCCAATCACCCAACACAATAATCTACCTACCCACCTTCTCCACCAATCATAATATTATCTAAAATAGTTATCAAAGACAAAATAGATTATTTTAATCACAATAAACAAAACATCACATCCAACCCATAATCATTACACTTTTCTCTCACAAAAGAAGTCAAAAAAGTTAAAAAGCCAAAAAGTCGTTTCCAAACCAAGCTTTTTAGCCCAGGTTAAAATGGCCAAAAAGCTAAAAAGTCAACCTACTTCCCAAACGGAGGCTAAATCTAATTGCGGTAATATTATGGTGAGTTAAGAGCATCTCCAACGGTAGTAGGCATTTTACCTATCTGAATATTACTATAAAGTATATATTTTATTTTGCCTATCAACTGTTTTATGTTTTTACTCCAACCATGCTCTTTATTTTAGCTATTTATCCAAATACTATTAATTTTATAAAATTCCACGTCAACAACAAAGATGGAGGGAAATGATCCTAATGATTGAATACATTTTGCCTAGCGTTGAAGGCTAGCTACATGTAGCTAGTGAAAATGAGTTGAGCCAAAATGCCTAATCATATGCCTAGTGCATTGGAATTGAAAAAAGTGAATCATACTAAGTATTTTAACTAACAAGTATTATATGCCTAGTGCATTGAACAACTAGTAACAGCAAAATATAATGCCAGAAGACAAAATGTGTTTAATGTGGATGAAAAAAATTAAAATAAGTTTTCACATTGGTTTCCATGTTAAATGCAGAACTAAATGTTATAAATAAGTTGTTTTCCATTGGATATAAAGCAGTTACTTTTTCTTTATTTGTTCATTGATTTTTTTTATATATATTTATTCATGCGTCATAAATGTATTAACATCGTTTCGTT